TCTTTACACAGGGAAGGGGCAGAGGAGGCATGCCCTGCACAGCTCACTCTTAGCCAACCATTTTACTAAGACAGGGTCTGAGACGCAGGCAGGCACAGGTGACAGATACCATCGATGTGTTCCCACTGCGCCGTCCATTCAACTCAGCCCCGCCAAAGTGAAGCTAGTTTCCCCAATCGGATGAGGTGGCCTCCATTGTTACTAGTGAATTTATCTTGTGAGCACACCCTTATCCAATTCCATTCAAAGCCACTGAATGTTTTGTACAGTCATTTAATTTTTGGAGTTAGGGAAACATGAAACCTTGTCAGCATGTTTATATTTTCATTAACTGTTGTGTTTTTCATTTGTCACATGAGATTTTCCTCTTTTTTTTTTTTTTGCTACTGGGGATTGAACTCAGGTCCTTTTGCTTTTGGGGCAGGCAGTGGAACCACTGAGCTAAATCCCCAGCCCTATTTTCCTCTTTAGAATAGTAAAACGGCAGTCTTTGGAGAACTACAGTCTGATTAGGTTGGTTCTTTTAGAACAAAAGCGATTAAATGCATCCAAGTCAATGAAAAAGTTTACTGGTCTAATGTAATATTACAAATTTACCAGATAAGTTAGAGAAAAAAGTCCTCTGAAATAATATGAAATGGTTTTCTGATTTAAAAGAGGCATTCCATGATGCTCTCTGGTACTGATTTTATTTGTTTTTGTTTTTGTTTTCTTCTTATTTGTACATGTTTAAATAGTGAGCAAGCATTACATTCACATAGGTTTAAGAAGAAAACAACATACGCCTGGGCTTGGTGACACACACCTGTAATCCCAGCACTCCGGGAGGCTGAGGCAGGAGGATGGCAAGCTCAAGCCCAGCAACTTAGCCACTTAGTGAGACCCTGTCTCAAAAAAAAAAAAAAATAAAGGGCTGGGGATGTAGCTCAGTGCAGAACCCCTTGGTTCAAGCCCCAGTAACCAGTACCAAACCCAACAACATGCAATGAAAAAGCTGCTGTCATTTCCTGTCTTTCTAGGTCTACCCCCCCCCCCATAATGTTTTCTGTCACTTTCCAGCATTTATTGGGATGTCTTAGTCATTTTTCTTGTTGGCTGAGACAAAACACCCAACACCCATAAGTAAAGGAGGAGAAGTTTATTTCAGCTCCCAGTTTGTAGAGGCTTCAGTCGTTAGTCATCGGCTGGCTCCAAGGCAGGGTAGCATGGCAGAGGGGCATTGCAGAGGGAAAACAGTTCATGGGAAAGTAGGCAGGAGGCAGGAAGCCTCCCTTCCTTCTTTTCCTCTTTTATTCCATCCAGGCTATAAACCTATTGCTTGGTGCCACACCCAGCCGAAGGGGCCCTTCCCATTATCCACACCCAGAATAATGCTAAACCAATCAGTGGGCTAATTTAGTACCACATGCCCTAGATCCAGCCATCTCTGAAAAGCCCACTGATGAGTGCATGAGGCTTTGGGGATGGGGTCCAGATATAAACCATAACAGATACATATATGTATAAGAAAGGCAAATATGTTTCTGTATCTGTCCTGTTTTTTAAAAATTTTTATTTATAT